TTCAAACTGGCCCCGGGCGAGACTACCTGTCGCCCTAATGATGTTTACAGCGGATTTGCGTTTGCTAATAACCCGACTTACCTGCGTTAAATAGCTCCTTCTTACTCGCTTCTCCAAGAATCAGACTCCATTGTGTTGAAGATATTTGTGTCATTTGTCACCTAAGACGTAGCCTGGGAGTTGTTGTGCTGAAATTGCTTAGACAAGTTAAACTGGTTTTATCTAACGCAGGAAGCACCGCGGTCTGTTTTTACTTTCTCGTATTTTCTTTGAACGTAACTGTCTCGTTTTGTCGAGCAGCGTCTTCAGAATGATTAGCTCAATTTTGCATGGGAAACGGAGATGTTGAGAACTTTAATGAAACGCGCTGGCTTGCATTTTCGAAGAGGAGCGCGTTCCCATAACACTTGAAAGCAGTTTTTAGTTTTGTTATACCTATCTACCCACCGCTTTGAAGCTCCGCTGTTGGAATTTCATGCTAATTTGGCAAATGGTAAAGCGTAAATCAGCAACTCACTCAATTTGAAAAGGAAATGGTAGACAGAGGCAGGAGATGTACTCTGCTACTCAAGTGGAAGCAAAAAAGTGAGACAAAATTAAACGTACAAAGTCTATGGAAGTTCTTTGGCTTCTACTACTGCTTCTAATGGTAAAACTATTGTCCTGTTGTTAGGCAATTAGGCTGAAATTATATATAAGAAAGACAAGAATAGGCCTCTAATACACTTGTTTTTATTGTATTTTTTACTCTGAGTCAGACTTTAAATACAGAGTTGTGGGCGGGGACAGGGGGTAGGTGAAAACTGATATTTTCTGAGCACAGAGGCCTTGAATGCTGCAGGACAAGAACTACCAGCCCTGCCTTTTTATAGTGGCATTTCATTTGCATATGTGTGTTTTAAGTGTTGAAAATGGCAGTGTGATATTTTTTAACTCTCATATATCACTCCAAGTACAGTGAGGTGGGCAGGGATAGGGGTTAGGTGAACACACACATTTTGAGACAGGCTCAAGCTTTGAGTGCAACACAATACAGGATTAGCTACTGTTTTTTTTGTTGTTGTTGTTGTTGTTGTTTTGTTTAGTTTTTTTTTCTCATTCAGCTATATGTTCATGTGTTCTTTTGTTTCTTGTTTTACCTCTGGTATGTATGAATTTTATGCAATGTTCAACAACCAATGAAAATGACTACTCTGATCGATTGCATTTGCAGGACGTCTGTAATTATTTCTCCTGCTTAGGTGTGTAATGGTACATGTATTCATGCTGAATTGTTTCGGTTTGAGTTTGTGCATTTTGTGTGTGTTTATATTTCACCACTACATGTGCAGCTACACGGAAGGCTCATCTCTTTAATATTCACAAGGGAACTTGCCCATGATTGGGGTGACGGTGTTTCCTGCAGCGCTTTATAGTTAGGGCGGCCGCCTTTACAACAATAACCCCCCCGCCTTGACTATGTCCCTCCGAACCACGGTCCTCATCACGCCTCGGTCCTCACTCTCGCCTTTCACCGGCATGGAATATCCGCCCCACTCCAAATATCCGCCCTACGCCAAGAAATTGTTGGTTTATCAACACACAAATAAACAAGAAGCAAATGGTTTAGTATTTTGTTCCCATACTGTACCGAAAATGAACCGAACTGTGACCTCAAAACCGAGGTACATACCAAACCGTGATTTTTGTGTCCCGTTACACCCCTACTACTATTACAAAAACAAATACATAAATAAATACATATATACATGCATACATACATGGAATACAGGATTAGCAATTCTGAGTAAGAGGGAAAACTACCGTAACATGGTTTCAAGCTCATAGTCAAGTCAATTTTATATACAGAAGAGTAAAGTAAAAGTCGGGCCTAAAGTTTCCAATAAGTTTCTACCTCTGTTAGAACTACACAAGTCTTACATTGTATTCAGTTAACTTGATTTCCTGGAAGATTTTACTGATAGTCTAACTGGATTCTGTTGTTTCTCAGCGCTCATCTCCCCTCCCCCGTCCTCCCCGTGAGAATCTTGTGTTTGGGCTGGAGGTTATGGGCCTCATACTGCCGTGCCTGATTGGGTTTGTCCTCCTCTTTGTCCCGTGTATTCCATTCTTACGCTGGCCCCATTGATTAATTGATTATGAAATGTTACTGAGGCTGGGCTAACTTGTATACTCATTAGCACATCAATAGTGCTGGTGATGGGGCTGTGTGGTTCTATTGTTATGGACTTTAACAATGGTGGAGATTGTCCTGAGGTCAAGGTTAACTTATAGGCTTATGTTAATGCTCACAGGGCTTCATTAGATCCTGTGCTGCTTTTGTTTCGTTGTTGCATTTCTAGGTTTTTTCATGGCATTTCTAGTATGATTTGAGCTTGAACTTCACACCAGTAAGGCTCAGGTTTGTTTTGTGAATATGAAGTTTGTCCTTCGGTAAAATAAACATCTACATAACAGAGGTAGGCTGGGCATTATTTAACTAAAGGGCTTTAATAAAATGTGATAACTGTTCTTACGGCATATTATAAAAGCAACAATAATTAGACTTTTATATTAGCTGTTTTTAAATATATTTTGGTTAATTTAACATCTAACAAAAGCATAAATTCTGAAAATATTGGATTTGCCAGTAATCAGGTTTTCCACTCTTTTCACTGACAAAATTTCAAAACTTTCGGATGACTTTTTTATGACCTAAAGTGAATTTTCCATGACTTTATGGCACCTACACGAGTAGAACTGATCATACTTTTACTTTTAGGGCTAAATATGAAATGCTAGCCCTTTCCCCTCACCTTATGGTTTGGTATTATATTTTTTTAACATTCGAAATTCTGTCAGTGCATTTATTGTTGTCTCTTTTAAACAAAAGGCGCAGACATTCAGAAATAATCATAAAAGCCAAATGAGAACTTAACAGAACGCTGGAGTTATGTAAAAGAGGTACTAAAATAACATGACTTTTCCAAAATTTTCATTGAATTTACAAAATTCCATGACTTTTTTCAGGCCTGGAAAATGATATTTTCAATTTCCATGTCTTTTCCAGGATTTCCATGAAAGTGGAAACTCTGAGTGATAGTTTAATTAACAACAAAATTAACAAATATTTGACCAAATCATGCCTAAAAGTCATCTACTTCACATTGGGAATACACCCAACCAGTAATTAACCATAACAGATGTAGGTCTAAACCTGAAAAACAGAACGAAGCTGGAACTCATCCAGGACTAAACCAAGTCTAAGCAGTTCTTGATAATCATCAGTCAGACGTAATTGGGACTACAGTAATTAACCTTTACTTTTAATTTGAGGTATAACGTAAGGAAGCAGCTGCCAGGAACAGATTATTCTATCCAATCAGACACGTTGTCATATGAAAACCATTTGGAAATAACTGATTGAGACTATCCCAGACTGTAGTTTCTTTTTTATGGTTCAACATCAGAGCGAGAGAAGGGACTAATTGGGAAGAGCTAACCTTGGTTTAAAATCAGGTTCACGTACATTTTATGTTAAAGATGCACTATGTAAGTTTTTGGTAGGGGGTCTATCACCTTTTTGTTTCTATGGAAATGTCATTGCTCTGCTTGGAATGTTCCACAATACAACATTAAACAGAGCTACCTTACATTTATTCATTTATAGGTGGTTTTATTGCTCAAAAACAAATAGAACAACAGGCACTCCGACTGTGAGCGGACTTGCCTCTCCACAGATCTGACCTGTAACTTGGTCTGGTTTGGTCTCCATGACGATAGAAAGGTTTAAGGCCCTGCTGTGAAACATTCTAGACAAAGCAATAACCAATAATCCATGGAGAAAAGCAGGTGGCATACCCTGAAAACCAGAAAAGTTACACAGTGCACCTTCGAAGAAATTCCACAGAAACATAAAACCCAAGCTGGACACTAAGACCATTCGAGACCAGTTCTTGCATTTGAACTGATACGTAAGTGTGTCAGGTTATTTTTAGCATCGCTATTCAATTTTTCAAGCTTCGAGGGTGTCTGTTGGCCTTTACGGGGGATGTGCGCACACGAAGCCGTTGCTCTTACTGGTTCCCAACTTTTCAGAAAGCACCATTTACCTGACACAGTTTCTCAGTTGTAAGGACTCTCCCACATGCCATAAATAAATGATAAACTCATCTCATCCTGTTAAAATATTCAGATGTGTTTAGGCCCTTTCCCTGTCAGTGTTGTCTAAGATATAGTACTGTAGAGTTGTCATGATACTAACATTTTAAACTCGATCTCGATACCAAGGAATAGACTCGATACTCAATACTGAATCTGAAACCATGATCGTAATAAACACTCTTTCAGCTGAATGTGATTCTCAACATGTTTTCTTTTACATTAGGGATGCACCGATTCAGCTTTTTCATTTTCGATACCAGTTCTGATACCAGTTCTGATACTATGTCTTTAAGTATCTGTCAGTACCTAATATGAGCAGATACCAGTGCAAGGACTAAAAACAGCAATACATTTATTTCTATTTATTTCAATATTTATACAATTTTTTTTTCCTTTAACCTAAAATAAAATAAGACAAAACTGCTCCAAATGTGTTATTTATCCCTCAAGTAACTGCAGAACAATTTGGTGTAAACAAAAGTTCAAACATTAAGAGACTTTCTATGTTATTAGGTTTAAGAGTTTGTTTTTCATACCTGACAGTTTCGACTGCTCACTCGCTCTCTTCTTCAGAGTGATCAAATAATGTTGCTGTACCATGTCGCTCAGCTGATTTAAACAGGTTTTGGCGTTGTCTTCCTACCGTTAGAGGCAGGACGACAGCGCCATCTGCAGTCTGACTTCCTCAGGACAGTATCTCAGGTGTGTGAGAGTAAAAAAGCCCACTTGTCCCGGTTAATAGTCCCATTTCCGTGTTTTGATTGCCTCATTAATCCAGCGATGGTGTTTGTTGTCTTCTGTTTCAATGATGTTTGCTCCGTCCCAGTCCATAATGTGGTTCTCTCTTTTACCGGCAGGAGGACAGCGCCAAAACCTGTACCAATCAGCTGAAAAGACACGTCACAGCAACAACACCTGACCTGAGGAAGAGCGCTAGTGAGCAGTCGAAACTGTCAGGTATGAAAACAAACTCTTGGTCCTAATAACATAAAATATCAGAAGACTAAATAAACCTCTTCGGATTAAGAGACTTTCTGTTTGATCTACTAGGAAATTGTCAAATTGCATCAAATTATCTGTCCAACCAGGATTTCGCCTGAATACCAGTATCAGATCAGTGCATCCTTGTACTATATTACCATGCGGTTTTATATCCGTGTAATCCCTCAGTTGTCTAGGTAGATTTCATAGTGGTCCATGTGTGTACACTAGACCATTGTTTCCCAAAGACTTGGTTGGGACCCTCAGGTGTGTCGCAAGAAATTTTTTTTAGGTCGCCTTGTCACGATCTGCATGTAATTTGAAATGTTAAGATGTTAAGATGTTTTGTATAATTTCTAATCTTTTTGTAATTATTTTATTGACTATTTTGTTCCAATATTGCTGGTTCAATTGAATGTTGAAAAAAAAAAAGAAATGGGCTACATTTAACGTCATAGGCGAAGTATGGATCTTTTTATTGCTGCTTCAGTGACTGTTTTTCATAGTTTAAAACTTGAGTAATACTAATACTATTTAAAACTTGAGTTCAGAGACACGATCACTCAGTCAACAATAAAATATCCTTATTAATGTTCAATAATGCTCAAATCCACATTTATTTTGAGATTTACGAATAATGTCTATTGACTGGGGTTGCGAAGGTTTTGACTTTTAAAATATGGGGCCCCAGAAAAAAAAAAAAAAGTTTGGAAACACTGATCTAGACTATGTGGTTTTATACTTGTTCTGATACAGCTCAAGCTAAAACAGTTGCGGAAAGATTACTTTTTAGTACCGACACTTGCTCAAATGAGTATCTAGTTTCTATAATTGTTTTGTATTTTGTATTGATTAGTATCTGATTTTCAATACCTGTGAGAACCTGAGGCGAGAGCCAAATCCAGTTTAACCTGTGTATTGAGTGGAGGGGAGAGTGTCTTGTATGTGAAGCTGTGGATTACATGAGCTGAGCTGGTGAAGTCACTGCTGCTGCTGCCTATAAATCATTTATGAACCAGAGTCGTGTTGCTATTTCAGATCTCAGTTACGTAAAGATCAAGGGTGGGGAAATGACAAAAGTACAAATACTGATCTTATTTTCGGTTAATTTTACATCTAAAACGTCACTTCAGGAAATGTTCGATTCGCAATTACTATTTTAATTAACAATAACGATTACTTCTATAACAATACTAAACCACTAATTAACCATAACTCATCTAGGGCCAAACCTGAAAAACAGAGCTACGCTGGAACTCAACCAGGACTAAATTAGGTTTAAGCAGTTCTCTGTAATCATCAATCATAAATCAAAAGTAATGCTCCACAGTAATTGACCTTTTCTTGCTACTCTACTACAGTACACTAAATTATTGGGTTGCTTGCTTGTATGAACAACACAGCCAGTTTTCTATAGCTGAAATCAAACCCACGAGTGAATAATTATGCCTCGAGATCTGTATAATTTTCTCCTGTATGAAACGTGCAGCTAATGGTTTGTGCTCAGACATGTATTTGCAGATTTGCCTATTGATAGAGCCGGTTTTTCGCGGCGTTATAGCCTGATAACTCCTACTCACCTCATTTGATCTCCGTCAGAAGCTGTAAATTAGCATGCTGATCTTGAAATGTTGCTTCACAGAGTCCTTATTTTATAGTCCAAAAGCTCGCGTCACTTTATATGCTAAACATGGTTGCGCATTTACCATCAGTCCAAGCTGTTTAAGCCGTTGCGAGTTTGAAACAGTATTGCCCTTGACATTGGCTCTCTGTTTCTCAAAAAGTCCATTGAAAAGTGAATAGCGAGTATGAGTGGGGTGTGCCTGCGGGGCTATCCTTCATCTTTAGTCATGCTCACAATATTGGAGATTTGATGATCCACGGGGAGGGTCCTTTAAAAACGACACCCCATCAAAACGCGAATAGCCCCAAATGGCTTGAAACGGTCTGCTTCCTGGAACAACCTGGGTGCAAAAGGGACCTATTGATATTCGAGCACCAAGCGACACCTTTTTTATTCCGAGTCTTGAATCCCCTCCGGTGATGAGACTTCAAAAGCATTCCCGGTAACTGCGGCTTTTGGACTCCCTGCTTGTGGTCTCCGCGAAGGGTTAATCTATCTTGTCTGAAGCTTGTTATATGGAGGACAAAAAGAAAAAAAACTTAAACTGGCTTCGCTCCAGCTTAGAAACAGGAAACTTTGGTCCAGTGACGCCGCTCATGTTGCCATAGAGAAGTACAAAGCATTTTCCAGTAGGGGGCGACGCGTCCGAAGGGGGTCTTTCTTTAGCGGTCAGTCATACATTCAGTGAGCTTTGTGCGGTATAGACTAATTGCTGGTTTCACAACACATTAAGTAATAAAGGATTTCGCTAATGATGATTCTATGCTAATCTAACTACCGAGAATCTGCTCCTGGGGCCTTGCTTGGCATTCACTGTTTGGACTAAGCTATAATCTTATAAGTTGGCAATGGTGTAGCAGCCTAAACAGCTTTTGATAGAATAATGCAATAATGCTGTTGGAAGCTGGTGTTGTATTTCCCCTGAATGCAGCTCTATTGTTTAGTGGTGTTGTTTTTGTGATTTAAAGGTCCTACATCACGCAAACTCAACTCCTGGTATGTTTTTGAGAAGGTAACGACATTTTAACATGTCTTAAAGCTCACAATGTCATGAAGAGGTAGTTTTCAAGTGAACAGTCTGGAATTCTGGACATAGGGCCTCATTTTCTAGTGAGTCAGAGTGTTGGAGACGTGTGGAGACACTTTTTTAAATATTCCATCCAGTCCTTGTATTTGCAGAGGTCACTGGTGCTAGACTAGTGCATGTCAATGGCCATAGTTATCCTGACACTAAAAACAGTCTAACCCACTCCACAAAACGCCCGAAGTAAATCTATTATTACTCCACACTGTCAATGTAAATGTCTGTGTCGATGGAATAATGTTTGAAATAAAACTAACCTTGCATCGCATGAATCGTCACTTGTTGAGGGACTATTTTCTCATATATCAGTCCGCCACTGCCGAGCTTTCTATCAGGAAGTACAACTCACTGCTGCTGCTCGGACATAATTCCTTCAAATGTAAGGTTGGTTTTACATTAAACATTATTCTATCAACACAGACATTTACATTGACAGTCTGGTGTAATAATAGATTTGTTTCGGGTGTTTTGTGGAGTGGGTAAGACTGTTTTTAGTGGCAGGATAACTATAGCCATTGACATGCACTAGTCTAGCACCAGTGACCTCTGCAAATACAAGGACTGGATGGAATATTTAAAAAAGTGTCTCCACATGTCTCCAACACTCTGGCTCACTAGGAAATGAGGTCTTATGTCCAACATTCCGGACTGTCCCTTTAAAAAAAACACATTAATAGGAAGCTTTAAATGGCTTCCCTTAAGGTGAACAAGACTAAAACTGAAATTAAGTATTGAACTTAAATATTTTCTGTCAGAATAACTTAATTGTACTTCTATGAGGGAACATAACATTGGTGTTACATGTGATTACTCTGATTTCGCCATTCCTGTTTTGTCAACAAGTGTCTCCGCACGTCTCCAACACTGTAGCTCACTAGGAATGAGATCCTATGTCCAAAATTCCAGACTGTCCCTTTAATCTGTATTTCAGTAGATAATTGCAATTCCACGGCTGAAATTATCCAAACAGTGGAGCACTTCCTGTATTATCAGATGACATCACAAGGTGGAAGAGTGTTTAAGAGACCTATGCAGGCTTTATGTGAATTAAATAAAACACAACTCCAGGTATAACAGCTCTTGGGCCCTTTAAAAATGCGCCATTGAATAACCAGACAAAGGGTTATCCTGGACGAATTCCGAAGAGGTAGGAAAGGAAACAGATAAAAGAGGAGGAAGGATGCAAGCAAGAAATTCATGAAATCACGGAAAGCTGATTTCTGCAAGGTCACTAATCTCAAAACTAAACTATGCCCTTGGTGCATAGACAAAATGATTATGGAGCAAACATAACATATCAGCATTTTGTCCTTGCTTCTGCTCATAGATAATACTTACTTTATATAGCTTCACTTAATACTGTTGTCAAAGGGGCTGTGCTTTTTCATGGAATAAAAAATGCCCTAGTACAGATATCTTTTAAAATGAGATCTTGTAGTCGAAATGAAACCGCTTCGTGCTGTCTGCCTCTCATTACAAAGCATTTCGATCTTCAGCGAAACAGAAAGTAAGGCTGGTATGCTGTTACAATGCTAGTTGTACTTTATACACATCTATAGTGTTTTTCAAGATACTCAAAGATGCTTTACATAAAGAGACAAACAAAGACAAACAGAAGAAACAAGAAAAATAATAAAAGGTGGTTTTAAAGAGATGGGTTTTTGTTAGTTTTACTGTGAGAGCAAAAGTTGTGAAAAGTGCTTCTAAACTCACTGTGGTAAATAATAGGATGCTGGGAATGCAGTAAGGAAGTAAACAGTTTAGAAAATTAAAACTAGTTCTGCTAATTTCACAGCCGTTTCTGAAGAGTGGCCTTTGACTCTGAATGGTGCATTGTGCAACTTTTCTGGTGGAAGGTCCGTGAAATGCTTTTCTCCCTGGAAATGTTATTACTTTGTTTGGAATGTTTCACAGTATGGTATTAAACTTTTCTATCTTCATGGAGCCCAAACAAGACCAAGTTACAGATCAGATTTTTGGAGAGGGAAGTCCACTTACAGTCAGGCTACATCCATATGACAACGCTCCTGGATTTTATTTTTTTTAATGGGTTGAAAAAAATTCACATCCGCACTCATGCTGGATCAATAAATATTCAAGGTCACATGACAATGGAGTGAAAACGATGTAATACATATGCCACACCTGTATGTGGTGCTGTAAACAGGATACAGCCAGAACCACTGGACACACAATACTACAAAGTCCTTCCTCTTCTGCAGTAAACAAACACAAGCACAATGACAAGGTCGCGACGTCATCATTTTC